CATGTCATTTTTACATTTTTTGTTGAGGCAAAAAAAATAAATCAACCCATCAACTAAAAACAGACACAAATTAACCTTCAATTCATTATATGATTGTAAATCAAACCTTATTTTGTGGTTTACATCATACACTCATTCATTTGTAACGGAAACGTGCCTTTGGTGTTTTAATAAGCAGAGATACAGTACTACATATTATATATAGGCAGCAAGGTGGCTGACGGCCGAAGACCCGTCATTGACTCCATAGTGGTAGCAAGGTGGTCAGGGCGGGGCCGAAGACTATGGCCTTGCTTTATATTTGTACAGCAAGAGGTGGGTCAGGGCAGATGGCCGAAGACTCGTTATTGACTTGATTTCTTATTTTTTTATATTAAATCTCTAACGTGTAAAAGTCATATTAGATGTTGGCTGTTTTGCAGTTAAATTATGTGATATCTTATGAGGGAAGAAATTTTTTTTAATATTTATTTTTATTTATTATATTTAAATTAAAATTTTATTTTAAAAAATTAAATTTCTTAAAAAAAAAACCATTTAAATCAATACGTGGTTGGTATTGACTTGCGTTTTTGCTTACAGTCTTTGGTCGTCCTTCTGAAAAGGCAAAATCTATCTTTTGCACATGGCGGTACTTGATGAAGACAAATCAGCTCTTGGAATCCATGCCCCCTACCGTAACCATCGAGGAATATCATTAATTAGACAGTAGCTGCCGCACTTCCTCCCATCAGCTTTACCTAAAAAGGCCGATACATGCAATTCAGGACAAAAAAATTAATAAATGAAAAATAAAAATCCGAACTCCACCAGCGATCCGATCGACCGCGCGCGTAAGATGAAATGATCACCGGATCTAAAGATTGTATTTTTAATTATTAATAATTAATAAAATCAACTTATTAATTATTGTATTTGTAATAAAAAAAAAAAAAAAATCCAACACTAATGTACACAATCTTCTTCCAACGGTCCAACCTGAGCCAAAACAATGTTGGGACTAGGTGTGGTAAAGGGGCGGGTCTGGCCAAGTTGAGTGACAAGCTATATGGATTAGATCGTAAATGGGCTATGGGTTAAAAAAAATTAATTCTCACTCAATGGGTTAATTGTAGGTTGGTTTTTTTTTTTTTTTAATAATTATTTTTATTAATTTTATTATATATAAATAAAA